AGACGTGTCATTTGGTGCGACTTAGACATCTCGCTCGGCTCTTGTATCCAATGGTATAGACGTGTCATTTGGTGCGACTTAGACATCTCACTCGGCTCTTGTATCCAATGGTATAGACGTGTCATTTGGTGCGACTTAGACATCTCGCTCGGCGCTTGTATCCAATTATATAGACGTGTCATTTGGTGCGAGACATCTCGTTCGGCTCTGTATCCAATGGTATAGACGTGTCATTTGGTGCGACTTAGACATCTCGCTCGGCGCTTGTATCCAATTATATAGACGTGTCATTTGGTGCGACTTAGACATCTCGCTCGGCGCTTGTATCCAATTATATAGACGTGTCATTTGGTGCGACTTAGACATCTCACTCGGCGCTTGTATCCAATGGTATAGACGTGTCATTTGGTGCGACTTAGACATCTCGCTTGGCTCTATATCCAATGGTATAGACGTGTCATTTGGTGCGACTTAGACATCTCGCTCGGCGCTTGTATCCAATGGTATAGACGTGTCATTTTGTGCGACTTAGACATCTCGCTTGGCTCTATATCCAATGGTATAGACGTGTCATTTGGTGCGACTTAGACATCTCGCTCGGCTCTTGTATCCAATGGTATAGACGTGTCATTTGGTGCGACTTAGACATCTCACTCGGCTCTTGTATCCAATGGTATAGACGTGTCATTTGGTGCGACTTAGACATCTCGCTCGGCGCTTGTATCCAATTATATAGACGTGTCATTTGGTGCGAGACATCTCGTTCGGCTCTGTATCCAATGGTATAGACGTGTCATTTGGTGCGACTTAGACATCTCGCTCGGCGCTTGTATCCAATTATATAGACGTGTCATTTGGTGCGACTTAGACATCTCGCTCGGCGCTTGTATCCAATTATATAGACGTGTCATTTGGTGCGACTTAGACATATCGCTCGGCGCTTGTATCCAATTATATAGACGTGTCATTTGGTGCGAGACATCTCGTTCGGCTCTGTATCCAATGGTATAGACGTGTCATTTGGTGCGACTTAGACATCTCGCTCGGCGCTTGTGTCCAATTATATAGACGTGTCATTTGGTGCGACTTAGACATCTCGCTCGGCGCTTGTATCCAATTATATAGACGTGTCATTTGGTGCGACTTAGACATCTCGCTCGGCGCTTGTATCCAATTATATAGACGTGTCATTTGGTGCGACTTAGACATCTCGCTCGGCGCTTGTATCCAATTATATAGACGTGTCATTTGGTGCGACTTAGACATCTCGCTCGGCGCTTGTATCCAATTATATAGACGTGTCATTTAGACCTAGGCTTGTAGTCGCAGTGTCAGCATTATGTAGAGCATGAGATCTTAGGGTGAGATACTAGAGGCGATTGGGCGACGGACAACTCGGCGAGAGACAAATGGGCGACAGATATGTGGGCGACAGACAAGTGGGCGACAGATATGTGGGCGACAGATATGTGGGCAACAGGCAAGTGGGCGACAGACAAGTGGGCGACAGATATGTGGGCGACAGATATGTGGGCGACAGGCAAGTGGGCGACAGACAAGTGGGCGACAGATATGTGGGCGACAGATATGTGGGCAACAGGCAACTGGGCGACAGACAAGTGGGCGACAGATATGTGGGCCAGTGACAAGTGGGCGACAGATATGTGGGCGACAGACAAGTGGATGAGAGACAAGATGGCAAATGTGGCAATAGATAACTACACATGGTGCATTTGGAAATTATGAAACTGAATGCATAAGGTGACGGAATGATTTATCGATAAATGAACACTAGATTCAATTATAGACACATGGTCATAAATAAGTGATCTGTCAATGAATCGTTTATTGAAAAATAATCTATTAATGGCTAATCTATAAACCAATAATCTACAAATAATGTAGAAAAATAAAATAAAAATAAAACAGGAAGTCGAAGTAGAATTATATAGTGGAGATACTCTCCACTGACCTAGTAACCGGCCCACTAACACACTATCGTCACCATCGGATATTTCAAGCCCGGCTCCTAAAGTACAGTCACGAAATGTCTACCAGCACCAACACGTCTGCTGAAGGGCTGGCACCGTACGGTCAACCTGGAGCCTCTATCTCAACCCATGACCGGTTATCTGTCTGCGGACCTCTGTGTTGACGGCCGGCTCTGATCACGCGTGTAGATACTTCAGTGTGTCACCACAAAAGTTGTGTAAATAGTTCAGTGTCTCCAAAAATTGTTTAAATAGTTCAATGTCACCAAAAAAGTTGTGTAAATAGCTCAGTGTCACCACAACAGTTGTGTAAATAGTTCAGTGTCACCATAAACGTTGTGTAAATAGTTCCGTGTCACCAAAAAGTTGTGTAAATAGTTCAATGTAAACATAAACGTTGTGTAAATAGTTCAGTGTCACCACAAAGGTATAAATATTTTGGTGTCACCACAAAAGTTGTGTAAATAGTTCAGTGTCACCACGAAGGTTGTGTAAATACTTTTGTGTCACCACCAAAGTTGTGTAAATAGTTAAGTGTCACCACGAAGGTTGTTTAAATACTTTTGTGTCACAAAAAAAAGGCGTGTAAGTACTTCAGTGTCACCACACAATTCGTGTAAATATTTTGGTGTCACGATAAAAGACGTTTAAACATACATCAGTCTCACCACGGTGTGTCACCACAAGAGTAGTGGAAATACTTCAAGGTCACCACTAAAGTCGTGTAAATACTTGAGTGTCACCAAAAAAGTCGTGTAATTACTCAAGTGTGTCACCACAAAAGTTGTGTAAATAGTTCAGTGTCACCATAAACGTTGTGTAAATAGTTCCGTGTCACCACAAAAGTTGTGTAAATAGTTAAGTGTCACCATAAACGTTGTATAAATATTTCAGTGTCACCACAAAAGTCGTGTAACTTCTTGATTGTGTCACCACAAAGGTCGACGATGTCGCTCAAGTTCCCTGAAATACTACACTACTCACCCAATGTGGGGCAGATCCTAGGAAGAAAAGAAAAAAAAAAAAAACAAGAAAAATTTCCAAGACAGTTTGACCTCCGACCGATATGCATGTGACCCTAGGTCCACCGATATAGGACCATCTCTCTGCAGCTCAACAAATATTTTGTGCGTAAACTGTAGAGCTGCTGTCGACTGTATAAATGCTTACAGACAGATAGACAGACAGACATACATACATACATACATATATATAAATATATATATATATGTATATATATATATATATATATATATATATATATATATATATATATATATATATATATATATATATATATATATACAGTATTTATTTATAAATATACATATATATATATATATATTTATACATACATGTCCATTTATATAGATATAGGTATGTTTGCGTATATACACGCATATATGTATATGTATTATATAATATATACAGGTATATATAATTATATATATATATATATATATATATATATATATATATATATATATATATATATATATATATATATATATATATATATATATATATATATATATATATATATATACACTTATATATAAAGACAATTTATGTGTGTAGCGTCCCTTACATGGAGCGTCCCCAACAATGTATATATATATACATACATTTATATATGTAAATAAGGATGTGCATGGATATATGTATACATATATAATATATATATATACGGGGTTTAATATATATATATATATATATATATATATATATATATATATATATATATATATATATATATATATATATATATATATATATATATAATTCAAAATCAAATTTTAAATATTTATGATTTACATGGAGATTTTATCTCTTTTATTCGTGATGATCATTATCCACTGAGAAATCACGTGTGAGAAAAAATTCCTATACAGTTATAGAGTGAATTGTGAGTATAGTTTGTATGTTTTGGTCGACTATAGAAACCCTACAGCTACAGTTCGCCAACCATCAGAGAGGGAAATATCAATAACACAATTGTAATCAAATAAATAAACTAGACGAGTTGGAAAAAAAAATTGAAACATTTCCAATTTTTAAAATCGGAATTCTGACGCTGAGCTTAGATTTCTATTTAGGGTGTTCATCAACTCTAAGTTAGATGAATATAAAATTGACTGTTTATATGGCGAATATTAGTCATTGCTAAGTAGGGGGATGTAGGTTCTAGACAGGGAGTTGATAGATTTTTAGATGCCAACTCAGAAGATATCTGATAAGTCTAAAATAAAACCTACTGATACTTTTTAACAGACTTACTGGTGACAACATAAAAACACTCATATACCATAGTTTTCATTAAAATAAACAAAGTAGCTCTTATAAAATGACATGTCAAGAATGTCATCTTACAGTAGCCTACAGTAAATGACATATCCAGAATGTCATCTAACATTAGATTGTAGTAAATGACATGTCCAGAATTCATTTACTCAGATTCAAACAAGACCCATGCCAAAAAGATTCTGTGTCATCACCATCCACCATCCGGCAACTGATCCACAAATCATCATCCACTATCCGTCAACTAATCCACCATAACCATCCACCATCCAGCAACAGATCAACCATACAGCATTCGTCTTGCGCTCCATCACTATCACGTAAACACAATGCAACCCGACCCAACCCTATTATAAAATCACAAGACCCCAATTCCTAAAACCCAACCATAAACCCCTATACATCCCACCCCTGAACCCTAGTTTCACTCTTTCAATACCCTAACTTGAACCCCACCATCAACCAATCCACACCCAACCCCCTCTTACGCCAACTATCCATCACTCGCATTGCCTGAATTCCCCGAGCATCATTTAGCCCTACGGTCAAGGGCGACAAGAAAAGGTAGCAGGCGGATAGTTAGCTGTCGCCCCTGTTCGACCTACGACAGAAAGATGGATCTACCTTGCACGTGGCTCGCATCGCTAATATCCGCAGCGTCCGCCAAGGTTTTTTCCCCCCTCTCTCACACACGCCGTTGTGGTTACCGATCGTCTCACAGCGACGATTTGTACAGCCAGCGATTGCGAGCTAGAGTTGTCGGTCCTTTGACGGAGTTGCCGGTCCTTGTGCAGAGTTGTCGTTTATAGTTCGTTTCATGGTTGGAGATTCTCATTGACTGACGTTATATTGATACGTTTATTATAGACGAGCAGAATATTAGTTTATTTCTCCAAACGTGAGTACTACTTTTATTTCAGTCGACATTTCATTATTTGATGCTGTGATTTTATTTAAAATTCATTATTATTTCAAGTAAGAGACATGTTTAAATTCGACATTGAATCCAGCATATTTCAGTACTAGTTTTGAAATGTCAGTACTTTTTGATTTTCTTATGAGCTATTGACTTACTATGAAGATCATTGACAACTTTATATATCCTTAACTAGAAAGTAAGTGTATTGACATATATATATATATATATATATATATATATATATATATATATATATATATATATACGTATATATATACGTATATATATATACGTATATACGTATATACAGTATATATATATATATATGTACTGTTTTTCCTCTATTTCCTGAACTAGTTGAACTACTTACATGTAGCCTATATAGGGCAGACTCACGGCATGGGGCCGCAATAACTAAGCTAGTCTGACCTTGAGTTGTATACCCTTGACCCTATCGATTACGTTAATTAGCTTTTCTATACTGGTGAGTGGTAAAAAAATCAAGAAGTAATTAACACCAAAAGTTAAATCTTTATATATCCAGTCTTCTCCCTAGGAGGTTGCGCACATAAGACATACGATTTCCAAAACAAAATATGACGTGTTATGTACCACAACAAATTTAACGTTATAAAACGTTATATAACTCTATATATAACTTTAAGTCACGTGTTCTTATACGACTACACCTCATGATATTTAATCTTTCTGCAAAATAGGCCCATCTACTAAACCACAACATCAGGAAGTTACTCATCACTAAAAGCTTTGATTTGTTTTAATTATGTGAAGCTCATAACTCTAGAGAACATCAGCTATATCTTCAAATAAAACTCATACAAAACCTCATGCTGAGTTTGAAGAAAAATAATACGTAAAACAGATAGGTCGACGTATTGATTCCATTATTCTAAATGTCACCAGTTTAACATAACCAGGGCAGGAGATCTAATTCAGTCTCCTATAAAATTACAAAACGATGAACTACCAGGTTTCACAACACCAATCATACTAGTTTTGAGCATGCACCCAATAACTATAGAACAAAGACATCCATACCTAGTCTATACATGGGATGAATTCGTCTGTCTAGACTGACCACTACGACCCTCTCTATTTTAACCCCCGACCTACTTTATGTACCTTGTTCTGCCCCTACCTCCACTGTGCTCATTTTTGTACACATTTGATATGACTAAGAACATTTCTAAGTAAAAACACGAATTTTAATATATTTTTGCATTATTTTTATTCTGGCACCTCTTTACTACAATTTAAGCAAAAAAATTCGTTTTTTTTTAATTGCTTTACATTTTTTAACATTCAAATTGGAACTTTTTTAAAAACTTTTGACGTTAATTTGTTGATATTTGAAAATGTAAAACAATTATTTAATTATTTTTGTATCGTTTATGAATTGTTTATTCTTCAAATAAAATGCCTTACTCTAATACTTGCTAAATAACTTTATAGAATTCCATGTTATATTTGCATAATACTTGACAGATAAGTATGAAATTTGATATACGAGGTTAGGACACCACCTACGTTATTTTCCATACATAGGTTAATGTTGTGGACCAAAATCCTGAGTTCGTGTCGGAAGGGGCTACTCTTAAACACAGGATCACTCCGTGTCCAGTGCAAACGGATCATCCTTTAACCCCTTTTCAAAACCGTTAGTTAGCCCGCCCCTCTGCCAGCCATTAGACATGTTTCTACTAAGTGATGTGATTCTACTAACTTTCTTGTTTTAATTAGAGAAACTACTTGTTTATGTCTGTTAACATAATATAGACAAAACGTTATTAAGGTATGTTAACAGTATGACATGGGTCCATATTAAAATGTAGGGCATAATGTTGTGTTAAATTGTCGTTCATAACGTCATGTTAAACTATTGCACATAAAATCGTATTAAACTGTCGTGCATACAGTCATATTAAACTGTCGTACGCAAAGTCAGATTAAACTGTCGTAAATAAAGTCATGTTAAACTGTTGGACAAAAAGACATATTAAACTGTGGTACATAAAGCCATTTTAAACTGTCGGGCATTGGATCAAGTTATACTGACAAGTCATACTGACAAGTCATGAGGTCATGTTAAACGGTTCAACATAATGTTACGTTAAACGCCGCAGTGACTATTCATCTCCCTTGTAAATTAAATACCAACGATTATCTCCCTTGTAAATTAAATACCAACGATTATCTCCCTTGTAAATTAAAAACCAACGATCATCTCCCTTGTAAATTAAATACCAACGATCATCTCCCTTGTAAATTAAATACCAACGATCAGATCAAAGAGAACACAACCCTGAATTTGTCGACCTAATTAGTTGTTCATGTCAAATCTCTCCTACCCCCAATAAACACAATGCCCGATCCCATTTGCCTATAAAAGCTAAAAGCAAGAAATAAAGCCATGAATGGCTTTTTTTGTATCAACACTGGTTTTATTTTCATTTAGCATCGTGCCAGTTAGAAATTATTGCAAATATCCCCCCACCCTAGCCCCGGCCCTAACATTTTAACTCTGGAATTATATTCCCACATTAAATACGTTCTGTGTGAATAAAAATAAGAAGCTTTTAGACGAGCCATTACTGCGACACGTATGAATTGAGGCGTCATATGTGTGTTATTTCACTAATGGAACCGTTATAGATTGTGGGCGTGGCCTTGATGGGGGAGGACAGGTGTGTGTGTGTGGGGGGGGGGTGATAATCTCTATTTTATTTTCAGAAACTCGGGCTCAACTTAAAAAGAAACACACAATAAATATTTTAGGAATATAAAATGGGTTATTCTGGAATTAGAATTTTAGAGGTAGTGCTGTCTTAGTGGGACTTTAGCCTGTCATCCCAATAGGACATTAGCCTAGCATCCAAATTGGACATTAGCCTACCATCCAAATAGGACATTAGCCTACCATCCAAATAGGACATTAGCCTACCATCCAAATAGGACATTAGCCTACCATCCAAATAGGACATTAGCCTACCATCCAAATAGGACATTAGCCTACCATCCAAATAGGACATTAGCCTACCATCCAAATAGGACATTAGCCTACCATCCAAATAGGACATTAGCCTACCATCCAAATAGGACATTAGCCTACCATCCAAATAGGACATTAGCCTACCATCCAAATAGGACATTAGCCTACCATCCAAATAGGACATTAGCCTACCATCCAAATAGGACATTAGCCTACCATCCAAATAGGACATTAGCCTACCATCCCAATAGGACATTAGCCTACCATCCAAATAGGACATTAGCCCGTCGTTCTAATAGGACATTAGCCTACCATCCAAATAGGACATTAGCCTACCATCCAAATAGGACATTAGCCTACCATCCAAATAGGATATTAGCCTACCATCCAAATAGGACATTAGCCTACCATCCCAATAGGACATTAGCCTACCATCCAAATAGGACATTAGCCCGTCGTTCTAATAGGACATTAGCCTACCATCCAAATAGGACATTAGCCTACCATCCAAATAGGACATTAGCCTACCATCCCAATAGGACATTAGCCTACCAGCCAAATAGGACATTCCACTAGGAAATCTACCTACCCTCTCACTAGGACATTGCCCTAATGTCCCACTAGGACATACTGCCAGTAAGGACCACTCATCAACTCAATCATGAGCTAATTTCTCCAACTTTCCACACCGATAACCAACTTTTTCAATCGCCCGATAACCAACTTTTTCAATCGCCCTCCAAGTCGAGTCTCCATGTTTTTCTTGGCCTGCCATTTTTTTTCTAGTACCCGGGGGACTCAAGGTCAAGGTCTGCCCTATTATGCTAATTGTTAACGTCTTGAATGTGTGGTGCTCCATCACCATTCTCACATGAGGATTTCTTCTTCAGCACTCTGTAGGATATTTTTACTGCCGTAGTTCTAAACTACTGAAGGTTGGTTTATACAGTGGACTCTCCTGGGGCATCTGATAATACATGTCTTTGTTTTATCTGATGCTATAACGCCACACGTATCCGCTCCATGCAGTAAAACCGAATTTGCTGATGTTTTAACTTAGTTTATGACGGTGTGGCTTAGAGGGAGAGCGCTAGACTTCTAACCCAAAAGTCTCGAGTTCAAATCTGGGTTCAAATCTGGGTTCAAATCAGTAGAACGTCCCTGAGTCCACCCAGCTCTGAAGAAAACCTAACTCAATTTAAGAAAACAAAAGCGGCTGGACACATCGCTGACCACATTATCTCCTAGAACTCTACTTCATCTACCACTTTATGTTTAAATGTGCATAAACGAGAGGAAGATGAAATGATAATTTTGATTAATTTTGACTGGTAGGTCACTTGCTAGCTCCACTACTCTAGAAAAACAACTGATTCTTCTATCTCTTGTATAGATTTTACTCTAATGTCAAAAAAACCCCATCAAAGTTATGAAATATCTGCATTAGCACATCAAACTGATGTCAGCTTAGGATATTAAACACCACACAAGTTACACTCGTCAACCCAGATGGAGGCTTTTAAAAAAAGTTGAAAAGCCACGGAAACTGGGTAGGGGAGAGAAATGTGTAATGTCAGAAAAATCAAAGAGCATGAAGTCTGAAAGAGATGTCTGGAAACGGATCAGGATTGAGATCTAAAGACCTGCCACTGCGCTCTAGAGTAAACTTAGCGATGAAAGGACTCAACAATTATTTGCATTTGTTAAAAGTTTGCTTAATAAATCTTTCATCCAGCAACCACTCATCTTAGCATAGCTTCAAACATCCATGCTTTAAAATGAGTACTTTAAATTGCAAGATAAAACACTTTTATAAAACTTGACAAAATTATCACCCAACTAGATCTCTAGACCATATTAAAATTTACACATACCTCAGTATCGTAAGATCTCAAATAATTCGCGTCTAGAGCTTGTTTTTATTCTTATGGGGAATATATTAATTTTATTTCTTTTACTACACGACATT